ATTTTATTTTTTTGCAGTCTGCTTTAGCAATCTGTTTGCCGAGTTTATCCTTTCCTGTTGTCTTCCACTGAGGCTTTTAAAAAATAACAGATTTTATTAATAAGACTGAGGATACCAAATACTTTTATAAAATCTACCTTTCCTCACGTGAGGTACATATAAATTGTATAATTTCATAATTTGTATTTAAATCTGTTTTTACTTGAACCTTATAGTAATAAATAATAAATTATATGCACACACAAGGTAAACTAGGGCTTCTATATACTTATAAGCTTTAGAATAATAAATTCACACACAAGGTAAACTAGGGCTTTTACATACCGATAAGCTTTAGAATAATAAATTCACACACAAGGTAAACTAGGGCTTCTACATACCGATAAGCTTTATAATAATAAATCCACACACAAGGTAAACTAAGGCTTCAACATACTAATAAGCTTTAGAATAATAATTCCACAAACAAGGTAAATTAGGGTTTCTACATACTGATAAGCTTTAGAATAATATATACACACACAAGTTAAAGTAGGGCTTTTACATACTGATAAGCTTTAGAATAATAAATTCACACACAAAGTAAACTAAGGCTTCTACATACTAATAAATCCACACAGTTGATTCTAACAGTGTCTAATAAAAAGCAGCAAATTGTCATTCTGCTAATCTGCGGTCAATCTTACACGGGGGTTTTTCAGTGATCTTGGTGATGTTTACATAACAACAGCAAAAGTGTCTATAGCTTAACCTTTAATTATCTCTCATCGCTTCTCGTGTTGTTATTTGTATACTGACCATCCTTATCACTTATATACATATCTTTCATCATTACTTATAGTCTAAGTGTGACAAATTTTCTTTTGTCCTGGGGCTTCTCTTTTACCAGTTTTAAAAGATTAACGTCTTGTTTTCTATCAACTATTTTCTACGTGATATGAAAGGATAGAAGGCCAGTTCTTGACATTAGTTTTACCCTTGCCGTCACAAACTCTTGCACATTTTCTAGGTCATTTTATTATTAATCCGAAGATGTTGATCTCAACGAATCTTTGAGCTTTTACCTTTGAGACATCATATTCTGTTTTGTGCACATCAACATATCACCAGTCTTACAGGTAAAGTGGTACCCAACGTAACAGATCAAATGGTAACCAATCTGACAAACAAAGTGGTAACTGATCTGTCAGATAAAGTGGAAACCAACGTAACAGATCAAATGGTAACCAATCTGACAAACAAAGTGGTAACTGATCTGTCAGATAAAGTGGAAACCAACGTAACAGATCAAATGGTAACCAATCTGACAAACAAAGTGGTAACTGATCTGTCAGATAAAGTGGAAACCAACGTAACAGATCAAATGGTAACCAGTCTGACAAAATGGTGACTCCTATTAAACCTCTTTTTGTTGGAGGTTTCTACAATCTGCTCAGATGAGTTTAATAATGATCAAAGTACAACTTAATGGGATAGATAACAGAGAGCGGGTTTATTGTTGGTTTTTATTCCAAATTCAAAGTAATGTTTTATTAATTATTATTTTATTCTGCTTTATCTTGGTCCATCCTTTAGTTCTAACCAGAGGTAAATGCGTTTCTCTAACAGTCAATGCATACTGAAAGTAATCTCATTATTCTCAGGACACGTCACAGACATACACCTGGTAGAGAGTTTTCACGTGTTTGTTTCTCTTCCGTCCCAAAAGAAGTGTCTCTTACCAACCACTTTTCCCTCTGACGGTAGCTGTGACTCTCCTACTACCACTCGCCTTAGGTTTCTCTTTCATCTCTGCTCTAGGAATCTGCCTACAACTACTCTATGTTGTATTTTTTGCGATTTTGTGTGCATGGAGCAGCATTTCATAGGATACTTTATGTTTTTCACAAACTGAAGAGAACCATCCCTTCCAACTCGAAAATCAAGACATAGACTGTTTTGTTTTAGAGCAAAACCAAATTAAGCTGTCTGCTGTGGCCACCTCGGAGAATCGAACACCGGATTTTAGCATTACAAGTCCGTAAACTTACCACTGTCCCACCAGGGGACTCAAGACATGGAACTTTCTAATCTAAACTCTGTAGCTTTTATACTTTATAGAATATACCAACTCTAATGTAATTGACAACAATAAATATCTAAACAACACATAACAGTATTGATTACTTATCTCAGCGTTTCGAGACTAAAAATACAGAAAATAATGTTCTTAATTGTCAACTGATAGAAACATTCTATATAACAAACAAATTTATAACATGCTCTGACATACCAAGATACAATCACAACACTATCTTAAAACAATGCAAAAGCACGTCAGTATTCGACGAAAATAAGATAAAAATATTCATGAAAAAAATATCATGTTGAGGAAATGTTTCACATAATATTCATGTTTCGATTTTACATTTTCCTCGTCTCTCTCTCATGTGCAGTTTTCTTCTGTTATTTTTATTCGTCTATTATTTTATTTTTTGACATGATTATTTTTATTAAATTATTCGTGAATGGTACTTATTGTACTTGCATTTTATTTTAACGTATATTTTTCTCTCTCTTCTACTAATCTACAAAGTACACAAAAACATGTATGCATAAAGAAAGGAAATCATTCTGATCCATAAGAGAACCATTTTTCAAATATTGGTAAAATATGTATTTTATTACTAGGCTATAAACATACCCATCTCGAAATTGAGGGAGTTTTACATACTATGAGAAAAAAAAAACATTTTGATCTTAATGAAACCGCCCCCAGTGGCACAGCGGTATGTCTACGGACTTACAACGCTAGAAACCGGGTTTCGATACCCGTGGTGAGCAGAGCACAGATATCCTATTGTGTAGCTTTGTGCTTAATTAGAAACAAACAAACCTAATGAAACCACAAAAACATAATTAGATACAATTTTAATTCTTATGAATGGCCTGGCATAATCAGATGGTTAGGGAGCTCGACTCGCAATCTGCGGGTCGCGGGTTTGAATCCCCGTCCCACCAAACATGCTCGCCCTTTCAGTCGTGGGGGCGTTATAATGTGACGGTCAATCCCACTATTCGTTGGTAAAAGAGTAGCCCAAGAGTTGGCGGTGGGTGGTGATAACTAGCTGCCTTCCCTCTAGTCTTACACTGCTAAATTAGGGACGGCTAGCGCAGATAGCCTTCGGGTGTCTTTGCGTGAAATCCAAAACAAACAAACAAACAAAACTTATGTATCATATTATTTGTTACAGTGAAATATTTAAATTGAGTAAAATGTTAATGGATTAATTTACCCTAAATTTATTTTGATGTATCATTTGATTCTCTTTTCTTTAATCTAAGCGACAACAAAAAGTCAGGTTTTGTTTGTAGTTTAAGCACAAAGCTACACAATGGGCTATCTATGCTCTGCCCAACCCAGGTCTCGAAATCCGGTTTCTAGAGTTGTAAGTTCGCAGACATACCGCTGTACCACTGGGGGGAGGGGCAAAGGTCAGGTAAAACTGTTTCTGGTTGTCATTGAAAAAAATGGGAAAATTGTTTGCTTGTTTCAAACTTTGTATGCAAAGTTACAAACATTGAGGGCTATCTGTGCATAGCTGCCCCCAATTTTTATTTAAACAGCATCTACCACCTACCCTTGGGTTACTCTTATCTAACCGAATAGTGGCATAATACGATGGCATATCATATGTTTTGTTAACCCTTGCTACTTTCAAATTTTCAGCATGTTTCAGGGTATATTCTTAATATAGAACATTAGTCAAGGGAACTACTAAGTTTGTCGTCTCTTGATTATTCGTGAGACTGCCTGAATCACTAAGGTCGTGGTTTGTGTTTTCTTCTCCTCCTCCTCCCACCTTTAGAAGGGGCCAACATAGTATGAACTGTATTATGAATATAAGCAGTGGTTTGTTCTATTGGCAAACCCTGGAATTGCCTGGGGATATAATTCGCCGTTGTTGTGGCCCTCAGTCTCGTGAATAGCACGTAGCCTGGGACATCTTTGTATCTATTTTTTGTTTTTCTTGCTTATTTAAAGTATAGTATTTATTTTTTTTTTGCTAGACTCCTAATATAGATTCGCATTAAGACCAAGGCTTATAGAGAAATAAACAGAGAAACAGGTTATTGAGTTTTTTGTTTGAAATCGAGGTCCTTCAGACTCACAGATTGTGTTTATCTCAGCTTTGACTCTAACATAATAAAGGTATGATGGTGAGAGAGCATCATTAAAGTTATCTCTCCCACTCTCCAGTCGACACACACTACGAGCACTTGTTCCAGTGTTTATAGTTGAATTTCAAATATCCATCCTCCTTAAAAGGGTATGTGAAACTTTTTATTATTTTATAAAAAGTGTATCCTTGTTTGTAATCAGTATCTATAAGACACAATCTTAATATTTAACATTTAGCTCAATAACTCCATGCAAAATTCTGTACATTTAGTTTTTTGTGTTTTTTTTAAATTGATAACAATAATTCTGTTTGTACACAATTTATGGTTTCGCCTTAGCACAGATTAAGTCATTTATAGTTAATCATTTTAAATCTTTATAAACAAGCTCATGATTTCAAGTGAAAAATCCGTCACGTTAATAAAAACTTATTTTTTACCTGGTTTTAAAGTTTCTTGCTATTACTTTTTTTATCTCAGTCTAAAGATAATATGTATCAGATAAAATATTACAAGTCACAGAATCGTAAGCTCTGTTGGTAAAGATGAACCTGGCATGAAACCATGATACATCTGTTTGATTACAAAGTTTCATTTCTAACAATTAAAAAAGTGAATGAAACAAAATAATCAGAGAAATTCTAATTGTTAACTAAAACTTGTTTGTAAAATAATGATAATTTCACGAATTAACTAGAGAATTCTGTTAGATCTGTTAGTATTTTAAAGGTTGTTCCATTTCAGAAGAGAAAGTATATTGTTTGAGATAGAACGTTTCCTACTTATGGTGATCTTGGATAAACGTTTATCAAAATTTAAAAACAAAAAAAAAACACAAGTTTTAAAATATCTAATTTTATTTATCTGGAAAACACAGGTGCCAGTTTTTTTTCTATCATCTACATAGATTAAGAACTAAGAATTTCTTAGTTTCTAATAGACTAAGTTTCTTACAGACATGATAAATGTATAACGAAAAAACATGCAGGGCAACGTAACAAAATCCACAGGTATTTTATTGTTTTAATTTATATTTCACTCAGTGTCAAAGTTATAAAAAATGTAGTATTTACTGCTAAAACATGCGATGGAGAAGAAATATAACCTTACTTAAATCAAACACGTTGCTGCCTCTTTACCCCATGTTTTTATATTATCGTTACATAATTTTTGATAATATAATCTTACAGTTCTGTCCCCTGGTGTTAAGTTAGCTATATTCTTATTGTGTAGCAAATAAACACGTAAAGTTTTATTATCTATTTTACCAAATATTTTTTTGTGCACTATGCAATCATCGTCGAATATTTTTACAATTTTGTTGATATTTATTTTTAAAAGGAAACAAATTAAAATTTTCTGTAGCCTTTATGAACTTAAGCCTGCAATCTATTATTTCGGTATAGTGAAATTAAGTAATCAAAGTTTTAAAATCAAGAATTTAAACTGAACGTATTTAGACTATCTCGTTACATACAGAAACACAAATTGATTGATACTGGTGTATTACTTACATTATTGCAAGCAAGTCTTAATCTAATTTTAAGATACTTTATTAGCACACGCTGCCTATCTGTACCTGTCAAAAATCATGTAGACAAATAATGTACATAATTTTCTCTTCTTAGATCTAATTAAACTTCAAAAAATGACTTATACAACCTAATTTAGTAGAGCATTATATATTTTTAAGTCTTGAATAATTTGCTCATAATGAGACCAGATAAAGCATTAACACGTTAAAGTAAAAAAAAAGGGCAAATTTTGAACACAGTCCAACGCTGTAGCAGTTGGCAAAATTACTCTTGTACAATGTGCTTTGCGGAGAATCAAAGATGAAAATACCTTATATCTATTCTAACTCTTCTTGCAACATATAAATGTTTATATAATATATTTCAATATCTAATGTCTTATTTTAAAATAGACAAAGAATGTATCGTATGTAGAATTAACAAACTTTTTTTAAAATTTGTTACAATTCGCCAGTGGTTGAGAATTGGACCTTTACATTTATATTAAGAGATAAGGAACAAAACTTGACTTATAGAAACTATTTAGCTTGTTTGTATGTTTGTAAGCACAAAACCACGCAATGAGCTGTCTGCGTTTTTCCCACCGCGGGTTTTGAAATCCGAGTTTTAGAGTTATAAGCCCTTAGTCTTACTTTTTTTTTTTAAATTCAAAAACATCTAAAATGAGCTAGAAAAAAATATATAATTTAAAAACAACGTTTCGCCTTAGTCTTACTACTGAGTCACTGGGGTCACTATATACCTAACAATTACTATGTTTAGTCCTATCCAGCTTTCGTGAGTGCTATTTCGAAACCAAGTTTGAAAAATCAAATAAATATTATATTGTAAAATTTAGTCAAAATCATGAACTCAAACTAGAAATGGTCTTTAAGTTGTCGACTTCAAATCAAAACATTTTCACATCAGTTGTAAATAGAAAGGTTAGGCTTAGTATTTTATTGTAAACCATACTACATCTCTTGATTGTCGATATATGAACATTCACATTTTAAGAGTCATTGAATCCGAGTTTGAAGGTTTTATTTTTACGATGCCATACGAAGATGCTGGATAGGATAAATTTACAGAGGTTTATTAATCGCAAGTTTTCAATTAATAAAATAATAATTGCATCACGCCTTTTATACTGTTATATCTAAACAACCCAACGTTTATCTCTTTGAATACATAGAAATGCCCCAGAACCTTTCCATCTAGACTTACAACCGACTAACGACTTATTTCTTCAATTAACACATAGATTAAACAAAGGGAGATTTTCCAGGTTAGTTCGAATATTAGACATAACATATTTTGCATCATTTATGATTTTCCCTACAATACAAAACTTTCACTTTGTATTGTACAACTTTTATTGGTCTATTTCATTGTGGTGAAAATATGTTATAATTCTGGAAGACAATATAAACCATCGAAACTTTTAAAATCATGCCTATTTTATTGAGTTTTCATACACCTTCCCAACTTTATGATGTATTACAACTAAAACTCCATTAGGATAGACACTATTATAAATAAACGTGATAAATCTCCTTGTGTGATATTCACTTACATCTTAAAGGTAGTAAAGAATATTAAACAGTCTAATTTTTAACGTATTCCATATTCTGTTAATTTCGATAATTAAATTTATTTTACTCCAGCCGATCACTGATGAAGATAACTTAGTAAGAGTAGCTCTAATAGATACTTTAATTAAAAACCAAACTACCAAGGTTGTTAGAATTTTGTAAGCAATAATTAAATGAAGCAGAAATAACATTTTGGATTTAAAAAAAACAATTAATAACGAAGTATCTATATTTTCCTAATTTAAAAGTGGAAAATGTTGACCGTTATAGTTTAAGACTAACAATTACACGACTACAACATACCACAGTCTCTAGAAGTATTTATTTATAAAGTCAAGGTAATTCTAGCCAAATTGTAAGTAACATTGTATTATTGATAACAATCGTGCAGATACTCAAGAATTAACGTCTTTCTCGGGTTTCATGTTGCCCAAGTTTGATATTTTCATGCTGCGTGATCTCTCGAACAGCGAGGGATCTGTATAGATGGGTTCACTGGGGTCTTCAAATCTAGGTGCTTGGAACTGAGACACATACAGATTAGCAGTACTAGGTGACATGCTGTCAGCATCTGATTGTTTCAGCTATGAGAAAATTAACAAACAATTTATTAAAATGTGTACGTACTCTTCACTGCACAATGTTTTACATGTATAACTCTGGAAAACCGGATCATGATTTGTTAGGTACGAAGAAAGTTTGAATAAATACTCTATAGGAGATCACTTTTCTAAAGTATTGTCGGTAATCCTATAGAATTATGGTTATGGTGCTCGACTCCCAAGATGCTAGTCGCGGGTTCAAATCCCCGTCCCTCGTATAGCTTTGCGCGAAATTTAAAACAAACCAATCTTGTGAAATTAAACATTTTCCCTCTAGAATTCATTTTAATTAAATTTCAAAGTTAAGATATTTCTTTAAAGTATTTAGTACTTTAAGTGTTTTTATCTAATTTTAAAGTGTTTCATAAATGATGCCTAGAACTGATGCTAAAAAATATTGAAACAAGTTAATTACAGAATTGTTTATTTGTTCGGTCATTTTGAATTTCGCGCAAAGCTACACAGGGCTATCTGCGCAAGCCGTCCCTAATTTAGCAGTGTAAGACTAGAGGGACGGCAGCTAGTCATCATCACCCACTGCCAATTCTTGGGCTACTCTTTTACCAACGAAGTTAACCGTCACATTATGACGCCCCCACGGTTGAAAGGGCGAGCATATTTGGTGGGACAGAGATTCGAACCCGCAGATTACGAGTCGAGCGTCCTAACCATTTGGCCATATCAGGCTATTACAGAATTATGAACTTAATAAAAATAAAATGAATTTTTGTATCAGTCATTAGAATACAAATATTGATTTTATTCTAAGTAGTATCTCATGATGATTAAAATTAGTTGTCATGCAATTTGATTGTAATTAGTAGCTTATAGGGAGTCTTTTTTTCAGTTACAGGAGAGATTTAACTAAGTGATCCTATAAAGCTAGTACTCCAAATTACACACCTTAAAAAAACTAACCCTGATTACTAAAAATTAACAGTTTTTGCAATGAGTTTGTCGTAGTTGTGAACTCGGCAACTACACAATAAGCGCCAAACATAACAACATCTGTACGTTTCTCAAATACATCATTTATTCGCGACCATGGTTTCGCCAGTAAAGGCATCATCAGATACAGACTTTACTGGCGAAAACCATGGTCGTGAATAAATGATGTATTTGTGAAACATAATCTTTTTTGTTTTTCCTCCATTCTGTAATTATGGAGTTTCACCAAGTACCGACGGTTTCAAGTATCAATTATATATAACAGCATCTCGTGTAGGAGAGACCTAAACTCTCAGAAGGAACTTTTTTTCAAAGACACCATCAATTTCTGCACTTAGCCTACATTAGACGAAAAACATATCACAAGTTAAGCTGAAACTCATTTACAGACAATGAAAACTATAACCCTATGCCGAAACAACAAAGGATTTGCAGTGATACGTTTTTATGCTATTACAATAATACTGATAATAATTTAAATCACATCAACCTTTACTGGTCCAAATTAATCTTAATATGATCTTGTATTAAACACACGTCATACACTGCTAGCTAAGACGTTTTACACCCTAAATTTGTAACATAAAGCGTTATTGACCTATTGTAATATAGACCAACAATGTAATTCAATTGCATATAAGGTTTTGGTTTGTTTTGAATTTCACGCAAAGGTACACGAGGGTTATCTGAGCTAGCCGTCCCTAATTTAGCAGTGAGAAACTAGAGGGAAAGCAGCTAATCAACAACAGTCACCGCCAGCTCTTGGTCTACGCTTTTAACAACGAATAATGGGATTGACCATCACTTTATAACGTCCTAATGGCTGAAAAAACGAGCATGTTTAGTGTGACGAGGATTTGAACCCGCTACCCGCAGATTGCGATTCGAGCTCCCTAATCACCAGGCCATGTCAGGCCTGATATATAGGAATCTGTTTCATACCGATAAAAAACTAATTGAGCATGAGTTTCTTGTTGAAACCCACTTTTATTTTATCTTAGTAAGGAGAACGTTTCGACCATCCGTGTACTGCCCTCGTTATGTGCAGAGTTCAATGGCGTTGTGTCCATAGGCCACGGGGGGAGCACGCCCTCAATGCTTTTCACACACTGTTGTAATAATACTCAATCTATGTATAAATATTTTATTAAATATGCCCAAAATACTTGTCTGTATATGAAATCAATAAGTTAATCAAAATAACAGCGGAAATCTAATAATAGGGAAAGTAAAAAGCACCCCACTTATTCATTATGATGAAGAACCCACTTGAAGTAAATATATATATATAGTAGAGACGGCTGGTACGAGTATTAAAAACTTTTATTTAAAAACACAAAACAAGTAACAACGTTTCGAGCTCTTTAGGTCATCATCAGGTTAAGAATGATAATGACCTAAGGAGGTTCGCAACGTTGTTACTTGTTTTCTGTTTTTAAATAAATGTTTTTATTACCCCCTATCAGCCGTCTCATCAATATATATTCATATATATTCCACTTATTTTTATCTGTATGATCGTTATTATAAACTCACTTTTAATAACAAAAGTACTTGATAGTCTGAGTGTGCTAATTCCCCTCCTTGTAAACTATTAAAAGAGTTTCATGTGAGAATAGATGTTTAAAAAAAACATTAATAGTAATTTATACCAGGCCGTGTAAATTTAATATATGAAAGGACTTAGAATGGTGTTCAAAACGAGAGGTGAGGTAAGGTAATATTAAAAATACAAGATAACACCCTATGTGTATTAAATAGAAGGTTGAAAATGTAGCATATCAAACTATTACCCGTGGACTGTTCTTGGCTTCTGTCTTGAGTTGGATAGCATTTTAGGTTCTATGTTGAGACAGAATCAGTCCATTAAAAAAATCAAACCCAACAGTTACTTGTACCATTTTTACCTCGGTGTTACTCAAAACCGAAGGAGAGAAATATAATCATGTATTGATCTGAATGATCGAATATTCAAGTAACGATTTCCCACACACATACATGGAAAACGAGTCACGAGTCACTTACCACAAGTCTAGCTTTTCGGACGTAATAGGTAGCGGCTACTGCTACTCCTATCACAAGGCAAATAAGTAACGTTACTACAGCTATCAGAGTGTAGTAACCTGCTTGTGCTACACATACTGTAGGAGTTTCATATACTGTAAGAAAAATTCACATGTCACATGATTAAATATATTTTGTTGTTCTTAACACCACATAAAGTTATTGACATTTAATTATTCAATTTAAAGAAATATATCTTTATAAATATATAATATGCAACTACACACGAATGACTGAAAATCTTTGTTCTTTGTTTATTGTAATATATATGGGATTCATTCGTTTATTGATTCGTAGTAACCCAGATATGAGAGACAAAGGCTACCCTTAGTTCAATTAGTCGACTCTTATATTGTATGGAACATTTGTGTCCTTTTTAAGTCACCATATATAAACCAAAATAAATTTAGGTTACTGAATAGTGATTTAAAAAACAAACATAAATATGATATATACATCAACATTATAACAGGCCTAACTGTATTTGTTTAGTTTGCTGACCTAAGCTGTGCTGATGAGCTTTGAATAGACAAAAATGCAGTCCACAGCAGAGATTACAGCCAATCTAGGAATGTATCAGACCTCTACGTCAGAGATTCTCTTTTCAATTGTACATTAGGCGAAAAAGAAATGAAATCTGTAGCCTATATTTTTAGTTTATAAGCGTTATAAACCAACATTTTCATATATTTAGTAGCTATCTGCAAATTAATTATTCTTATAAAGAAATACACTAGCGAAGGAAGATCAAATTTTGGTGCCCGAGACCAGAAAGTAGTCTGATTAATTACAAAGAAAGGCAGGTAATCTGTGAAGGAAAAAATCGCTATTGACATGTCAAATTTGAAACCATGTGGTGCTAGAAGGTGTAATAGACTAAGTGGGTAAGTCCCACCTACAATCTCCTTGTGTCATAACAGCATCCAGCGCTTTTTCATCTGTGACAGAGCTAAAGGGAAGGTTAGTAGACAAGGTGAGACTAATGGATGCTGCTTCTCACCTACTGTTTAAAGGTTTATTTTAATGCTCAATTTCGAAGTATTGGGGTATTATGAGACGTGGTAGATCATAGACAATATACAACCTGTTGAAACCTGAACACGAATTTCACGTTGACAAGAAAGCAGAAATCATGATTTAGGGTACTACAAATAGTCAAAGATATCGCTAACTGCGAGAGTACCCAACTGATGAAACAATGCATTCTAATCTTTGTACAAAAGAATGTAAGAAAGATATATTTAATTAGCTATGTTCATTAACAAGTTTGTTTTTAGTTTCGCTCTAATTGGGTAGATTGTTCTGATTGTAAGTTAATATTCAATACACGAACTTGTCACACTCGATGCTGTCAAGCACTTCATGCACGATGAAGAAGTTAGCAAAAGGAACAAAAAAATCAAGAACATTTCAGAAGACCCAGAAGCTCGGGCGCTTTCCAAAAATTGACTATTATATATAAAGTAAATTCAAATGAGGGTCTGAAATACCATCGTAGGAGAATTAAAACTTGACGATACAAGCCTAGGATCTAGTGAGAGAATCCATGAGGCATCACGTGTACAAAAACAAAGCATTTTAATCCTAACACAAACAGCGTAAGCAACGAGTCATCATTTCAAATAACGTTGCGAAATAGAGAGAGCCTAGTCGTAACTACACTGAATCCACTAGCCCGTGGTTCCTGTAGTTTTCGCTACACTAGGCCCACTAGTCTCTGGTTCCTATAGTTGTAACTACAATGAGTCCCACAGCTCATGGTTCCTGTATTTGTAAATACAATGAGTCCACCAGCCCATGGTTCCTGTATTTGTAAGTACAATGAGTCCACCAGCCTATGGTTCCTGTAGTTGTAGCTACAATGAGTCCACCAGCCCATGGTTCCTGTAGTTGTAAGTACAATGAGTCCACCAGCCCATGGTTCCTGTAGTTGTAGCTACAATGAGTCCACCAGCCCATGGTTCCTGTAGTTGTAGAGTTGTAGCTACACTGAGTCTACCAGCCCATGGTTCCTGTAGTTGTAGATTCAATGAGTCCACCAGCCCATTGTTTCTGTAGTTGTAGCAACACTGAGTTCACCAGCCTATGGTTTCTGTTGTTGTAGAGTTGTAGCTACACTGAGTCTACCAGCCCATGGTTTCTGTAGTTGTAGCAACACTGAGTCCACCAGCCTATGGTTCCTGTAGTTGTAGAGTTGTAGCTACACTGAGTCTACCAGCCCATGGTTCCTGTAGTTGTAGCTACAATGAGACCACCAGCCCATGGTTCCTGTAGTTGTAGCTACACTGAGTCCACCACCCCATGGTTTCTGTAGTTGTAGCAACACTGAGTCCACCAGCCTATGGTTCCTGTAGTTGTAGAGTTGTAACTACACTGAGTCTACCAGCCCATGGTTCCTGTAGTTGTAGCTACAATGAGACCATCAGCCTATGGTTCCTGTAGTTGTAGAGTTGTAGCTACACTGAGTCTACCAGCCCATGGTTCCTGTAGTTGTAGAGCTGTAGCTACATTGAGTCCACTAACCCATTGTGCCTGCGCCTGGAAGGGTACAAATTACAGAACAAGAGTATCTCGGCTGCAAATACCTCTAGGCATTGTATTTCAGATAGGTGGATTCCTTTATAAAACTGTTCGGAAAACCTGTCTTCAGTGATGTAGCAGAAAATGGCCAAGATTAAAAACTACTCGATTCTACCTAAGTGGCAGCATGATAAGGAGTCTGGGTGAGTCACACAGGTGGCAGCATGATAGAAAGGCTGCGTGAGTCACGCAGGTGGCAGTGTGATAGGGAGGTTGGGTGAGTCAGACAAGTGGCAATTTGACAGGATGGCTGGGTAAGTCACACAGGTGGCAGTGTGATGGGGAGGCTGAGTGAATCAATCTGTGAGCGCTCAATTTGTCTTCTGACTACCGTGTATATGATTAACTGCTGTCTAGTTATTACAAGTCCATACATATGTATATTTCATATCTTATGAAAGATCCATACACGATTTTATGTATATGACATATTTCCTCCCTAAGTATAATTGGGAGCAGATGACAGGAAGGAAAACATTTAATTTCAGGACTCCTAGAGATAACATAGGGGTTAGTTTCAATAAAAGTGTTGATGTGATTAATCACTCTAGCTGTACAGTGAACAGCAATGAACATGGACGGCTTCAGTGAAAATTTGAAATGTTTTGTGAGGAGGTGCGTGATTGTTCGATCCGGAAAAGCTGGTTGCAATATAAACAGGGGCCATGGACCAAAGGACGACTCGACAAATTTTTGCTCCTAAAGTAGAACAACGTCACTTCTTCCACCTGTTAGTTCATAGTCTTCTCCTGGTGTTGAAGGGACTGCATTTTACACGTTCATGTGAGTGAGAACAAATCACTTACTGAACCAGGTAAGCTGATCTTCAAAGTGAGGACAGTTCCCTCTGTAAGTTGATCTTCAAAGTGAGGACAGTTCCCTATGTAAGTTAATCTTCAAATTGAGGAGAGTTTCCTCTGTGAGCTGCTCTTCAAAGTGAGGACAGTTACCTCTGTAAACTTATCTTTAAAGTGAGGACAGTTCTCTATGTAAGCTGATCTTCAAAATGAGGTCAGTTCCCTCTGTGAGCTGATCTTCAATGTGAGGACAGTTCCCTATGTAAGCTGATCTTCAAAATGAAGTCAGTTCCCTCTTTGAGCTGATCTTCAAAGTGAGGACAGTTCTCTCTATGAGCTGATCTTCAAAATGAGGACAGTTCCCTATGTAAGCTGATCTTCAAAATGAGGACAGTTCCCTATGTAAGCTGATGTTCAAAATGAGGACAGTTCCCTATGTAAGCTGATGTTCAAAATGAGGACAGTTCCCTATGTAAGCTGATGTTCAAAATGAGGACAGTTCCCTATGTAAGCTGATGTTCAAAATGAGGACCGTTCCCTATGTATGTTCCCTATTTAAGTGAGCAGTGATTTCTGATGAATCCTAGTTAAAGTTTGCTATTAAAACCCTTAACAACAATAATAAGTATAATAACTTTCCAACTATATTCACCAAGTCTAGTGGAATGACATGATACTGCAACGATAGGTGGGCTAAGTTGTGAAAGTTATTAATGTTAAGTCACTTTCTAATAAAATAGTTTGAATACTTCTACAAATGAAAAAAGCTATAAATGTGTGTGTGCGATTTGTTTGGAGTAGCTGAGTAAATCCTATTTTATGTTTTACTTAGCCAGTCTACGTGAAGCTGATTTGATGATATTTTCTTTCATTACTTTCATTCTGCATTATTATTGTTAAATGATGTGCTAATGTTGTTTTTGTTGTGTGTTTTTTTTCGGGAGAGGAGGGAAGGGGGGGGTGAAGCTGGTTTATTAATATTCCTTTTATTGCATTTTGCTTTGTTTAGTCATTGTAAAAAGATGTGTTTGTGATTTGTTTTGTTTGTTTTATAGGTTAGGGCTTATGATACTAGTTTTTCTCATGCATATTGTTTTCTCCTGCTTAAATAGATATTCGTAAAATGTTATTTTTTGTTTTTAAAGCTTCTAGTCTAATTGAAATGTTTACAAGATATATTATTCGGCAGAGCTTACTCTAGAAAAATTCTCCCCCTAGAAACAAAACAAATTACCTAGACATAGATATCAACATCATTAATCGCAGATTCAAACTTTAAAATTTTTAATAAAACGGACACTTTCCACCTTGAAGTTATAAACTTTCCATTCCCAAATACCAATATTCCAGTAAGTTATATTACAATGTTTACTACTCTCATCTTACTAGATATAATAGAATTTGTTCATCATTACAATATTTTGTGAATAGAGCTCGATAACTGATTCGCATTTCTTATTATCGAGACTTCTCACTTTTAAAATTAAACAGAATATATTTGATTCTGTGGAAAATTCAAAATATTTGTGTTAAAGACTATAGGCTTAGAAGTTTTACAAACTATCACTTCTATAAAACTTTCACGTCTACCCTTTGATTCCTTAGGATTTTGTGCATTGACCACCACTGATTTTATAAATCGTTAGTTGAAATTGTTTGTTATTAGTTCCGTTTGACATTACTTCACTGATTTAATTATATTAGTACATTTATATTTACTGTCTTTGTCATATTACACCTCGTTCGTTTGTACTACAATGTATTATTGTTGTAGAACTGTCATACAAACATTGGTTTTTTGTTTGTGCGATGGGAAATTTGATGTTATCAATCTGACACGGTTTATACTAAAACAATTAGGTTTAATTGTCACATTTAGGATAGTCTATGACGTTATATAGTTGGGACTCATTATTAATGAGTTTCCTTTGGTAAAGTTTGGTGTTAGAGAGAACAAGCTACGAAACGAACATACATCGAACATGATGGTTCAAGACAAGAACTAGTGTTAGCGGGTTCCCTAAGTAAGATATGCTAATCAGTTTATTTACTGTTGCTTTTATTAGTAGTTTGTATATTGAATGTAATTGTTTTTTATTTTAGTTTATGATTTATTATTAGACCTTTATTATAAAAATTGTTTTGCATTATTAGTTTAGAATTTATATTTAGGTCTAACCCTAATCTCCTAAGCTGGCCGAACCTCGTGAAATAATATTGAGTTTATAGTCGAAAATATTTTTAACGGCGAGGGTATCTAACTTATGAAACAATGCATTCTAATTTTTATAAGTAAAACGTGAGAAAATAATATTTAATTAGCTATATTAATGGCCAAGTTTATTTCGCAATAAGTACATAGATTACTCTGACAGGAAATTATTATTATTATTTAAAATTTGTCTTGGTGACTGAAGATGTTCTCATACGCAATCGTTTTATTCCGCCTATTACTATGAATTTTGAATTAGTCGTGAGTATGACTTTGTTCTGTGAAGTACTGTTTTCGGTAACGATTTGCCATTTTGATTTTCAGTTAACCACGGTGATTCCTGATTTCATGTAATACACCCGTTTGGATACGATGCTAGTTCTGCTGCCTAATTTTCGGTTGTATTCAACTCAAAGTTTTGTTGTAGTTTAAAAAATGTGTTTGAGTGTAGAACTTGGTCATGTATTCAACTTTCCAAAGACTACGTTGTTTTCTTGATTTTAAATTCAAGATTATGTTCTTGTGGTGGTTTTCATAACACAAGTAGCCTATGAGGATCCCAGCTTTTCTGGCATTTAGTTTAAAGCATAAACCCACATTAAAAAATAATAATAATGCATTGTCCCCGCTGCGATGGCTGGAATAGACTTATCCACGTTCGGTGCCTATGGCTAAACGACTACGTCGGAGGCCTTTTAGGTTCAGTTATAGCTATCCATAATATAAAACTGCTGCACAGAGAGAGAAAAAACAATCAGCAGAGCCCATGCTTGTTATAAAACAACTTTTGGTCGAATAGCGGGATGTACTATAACATTTATAACGCTTTCAAAGCTTAAAATGAGAAATGTTCAGAAGCATATCGTGGCTCGAACCTTGGACCTTTTGACCCATAGCCTGTATCCTAAACACTACGCCTAGACCTGTTCATGTGCTGTTGGACTTTAGCTAAAATTATAAAACGTCTATTTTCATGGTAAATTGGAGACGTTCTATCGTTTCACTGGTAGCGCACCTTAAACAAAGAAATATATATTTAAACTTACCTGCAAAGGGACCTTCAGAAGGTATGTCAGATCGTGACAAATACACTTTTAGAAGTTCATGTACCTCTTCTTTTGTTTCCTCATCAGTACCGTTAGACGGCGTTGCTATTGTACTAGACTGGGCTACACGGATAGGTAAGGCTGAGCCAGCAGATGTTGTTTCATTCGAAGCTGCCCTCTTTCGGCGTCCCCATGACGGAAAAGTGCCGGGTCTGCTTAGGTCACTGCATATGGTCTGTACAGAATATACAATTACACTCTGTATGTAACAGAAAAAGCACTTCTTATATTAGGGATAACCGAACCAACGGACAATTAGCATTAATGAAAGCTAGCGAAGTGAAAACATTTAGCAACGATATCTATTAAATAAAGAGTAGAATTAATTACGTTAAACTGTCCCAAAAATAGGAATGTTTCGAACCTGCACTTTAAATAACACTGTAGTCCTAGTTCTAAACATGTGCGCGTCTATCAAGTTAACAAAGATAAAAGTGTGAGTTGTTATTCATTACGATATTTCTTAAAACTTACCAAACTTATCAATCCATACCCATATGTCTATGATATACCAATTGTGCAAATGTATTCAAGCAACTGCCAACATTACAAAAACAATTTTGAAACCATACTTTAAGTTATGAATTTTATCATAATAATCAAAAAATATATTTAGGTCAGATATATTGATGTTGAATAATACTATCACTCTCGGTGCGTTAGCAGTAAGTTTTCAGGCTCATGACGTTAAAATTTAGGGTTTGATTATCCGCGTTCGGAAGAGCACGCATGTCCTATTGTGTAACTTTGCGCTAAAAAAATAACACCGTAAGAAATATTGAAAGTTATAAGTTTAATGGAAAAACACAGACTGAATGTGGCAAGAATTGCGTATGATAAAGTATTTGTTGGCCAAATAACGTTTTATTTTTCTGAGTTATTATATCACAACTTTTTTCTACTTTGTGTACGAAGGCTACTAATCTAAAGATTACACAGTGACGTATCTACCTCATGATCTAACGAAACGTTCTAAATCTATCGTTAGATAATTTCGCGGACTCTGTGCAAGCAAGTTTGACGCGCTTTCTAACTGTTATGGCAAATAACAATTGATTAACTGCACGTGAGATATTTGAATGCGGTAAAAAAAGAAACTTGTAAGAAATCGTAGTACATAAAATAAATAAATTATAAACAAGTGTGACATCTCAGCAAAATAGGCAATTGTAAAGTAATTATAATTTTTAAGAGTGTAGTAAATATTAAAATATTTAATATTATTAAATAAATAATTTGGCAACAGCGTGAGAGGGCAGAACACACACTTTCAAACGTAGTCAACAGGATTGTTGATCAGTGAATACCAAGCATTTTCATAAAAGGAAATACTGTTGTATATTGTATAGTTCGAAATCTTACCGGTTCACAGGGTCCACGACATGTACGAACTGTTGCCTGGAACACCAGCAAATTGGAATCAGGAATCTTGAATGCGTAAAATTCAGCTTCTAGAGCGCCCTCTGGTGTTCGATGTAACTCGGGAAATACGTAAAGGTCAATAGGGCAGCTTAAAGTAACCCATACAAATGCATAAGAATAATTGATTAGTAATCCGAAAACAAAGACTCCTGTAAACGATCGCTTTGAATTATTTCTACTGTACTAGAACATATTCTAAAAAAACCACCAAAGTTTTCAAGAGAACAATTATCCTTAGAACGCCAATAAAACAATGTCTTAATAACCTGTAAGAAGACCAAATGGAGTTACGATAAATAACATTTTTTGTCTAATTTTCTGTGTTACTGTATTTTAAAGGATGTACAATATTTACCACATATTTAGAGGTGTGAACACTATATTGACACCAAGTTCACGAAACTTAGGTTATAATAAAATTCAATTTAATCGCAACACAAATTCAATAAGTAAACAGTCAAAACACAGAATGATAAAGAAATACAAGTTTCGAAAAATCTTAAGTTTACAAGACCTTAACCTTAGTTTTTGACTTTACTGTTTAATTCAACTTTCTCTGAATTACAACCACTATTATGAAATAATTGAATAAAGAAACATGAAGGGATAGGGGAAAATGACATATATTACCCCCTTGAATCGATCAATTGCACTTCTCTTCCGGAATAGGGATCTTTGGCGATGACATTGGTTGCGAAGATGTCACCAGTAAAGAAATCGTACCTGTCTGCCAGAATATCATTAAAAGAATATTAAAATCACGTCACAGTTGTCCTCTTCTATGAATCCATAAATAAAACTAGTATTTCAGAGGTATCTCTTACATAACACAAGATGTTATTCTTGGTACCAGAACTCACCTGAAATGGACCTGTGGCAACCCATAGCACGCACTGCTAGAAACGTATTATAATGGCGTAAAATGCCTAAGATAAGAAAGCAGTGACGCTTTCTAAGCCTTTCACACACGATATAAATTCGAAGTTCTATTCAGCTGGAGAATAACACCCACGATAAAGAACAAACATATAAGTAATTTTAAAAAGCTTTAAAGATTATAGCTTTTTCATAAGTTAATGTTGTGTGAAATGGTTGCTAATTTTCAGTTAATTTCATTTGTTGTATTTTTTAAAGATATCACAACTTTAAAAGCGCATAATAATTTATTAAAACGGCAATGGGCTTGTTGGATGATTCTACATATTTTGGCAGTCAATACTACTCCGCCATCTTCAGGAAAAGCCACGAGGTAACAAGAAGAGAGAGAAGCTTATATGACTGCAGACAGTTCTATAGGTAGATACAACTCGTCATAAATTATCATACAAAACCTTGACCCGTGGCGCTACCAGTACTAGAAAACTAGATTTTGAATAATGACTCTGGTTCAGGTATTACGGACCAATAAAGTGGGTCGGGTTTGTCACATGTTCAACTAATAAGGATTCATTATTTTTATTTCTCTATCGCAGTTTTCCCATAACTATATTACTTCTACTTTATAATAGTTGTTATTCCATTTACAATTGTAAAGCTCACCAAAGATGTATATAGAGATATTAATGATTATATTATCATAAAATCTTGCAACTGTTCTGAAAAGAGCTTTGCGATAAAAAGTGAAAGGGTAACTTACAAGCATAAGTAAATTAAACAATAAAGTTATAATTTTAAATTGTATTTTTTTAAACTTACACTGTCCTCGAGCTTCGAGCCTAAAAGTAAGCAAATCTCCCACTGCGATGGTGTTTGTTGGAGTGCCACGATACAGTATTCGCAAGACAACACTAGAGGTCAGGATATTCTGAGCTGGCAGGTGCTCAATCTGCGTTGGATAGCGTCTAAAAATTTCGACGTAGAAAAAGGAACCACATATCAGGTATTATAGCCTTTAATATACACCGGTATAATCTGATTGATGTTTTTAATATATTTATCTAGCTTTTATATACTCCACTACATTGATGAAATTTTGTGACCAACATAATATTAATGTCTGCAAAGTTTTAGTATCATTTTTATCATTTTCCGAAGATAAAAAAAAATAAAGTGAAATTATTAAACAATACTCTGTCGCTATCGTCTCATCTGGAACAGACAAGTCTAGACCAACTCATCTGAACTAAGACTAGTTTCGAGTAATTTAACTTCCTAGATCACTACTAAGCAATTCATCTACATTCAAATTAAACCAGTTCAAGACTAGTTTTGACCAAATCATCTAACTTACAACAGTTTTGACCACCTAATTTGAGTTTTAGACTAGTTTTGACTTTCAACTCGCTTATCTTGATGCTAACAGTTTTATACAACCCATCTGCATATGAATTTGACAAGAATCAACCAATCCATCCGGCATAAGACTAGATTTGACTGGTTCATTTACATTAGACCAGTTTCGACCATCTTATTGGAATTGAGACTCATCTTGATTAGACCAGTTTTAAACAACTCATCTACATGTAAATTAGACCATATTCAACCAACTTATCTGAATTAGACCTATTTCGACTAATTCAACTGAATTAGACTAGTTTCACTCTATTCGTATGGATTAAGGTTAGTACCAACTAACTCATTTTATTTACACTAATTTCAACCAAATCATTTAAATCTAATCTAGTTTCGACTAACTCATCTGCATTACACTAGTTATGACCAGTTCATCTTAATTAAGAATAATTTTAACTAATATGTCCTGAAGAAACCAGTTTCCAAAAACTAATCTAAGTTAGACCATCAACTCGATCTGAATTAGACCTGTTTCGTCCATTTCATCTAAATCAAATTAATTTAGACGATCCCATCAGGACTAGACCACCTTTGAACCTCTGAATTATACCATATTTAACTAACGCACCGGAATTATTGGCTCTCTTGAATTGAATAGTTTTGATCAAATCAGCCAAGTAAAACTAGTTTCGCTTAATACGGCTAATTTAGATTACTTTGACCAAAGCGTCTGAATTAGGCCAGTTACGCCCAAAAGAAATTGATCAAACTAGTTTTAACCATCTCATCTAGATTAAACCTGTATCAAAGAATAATGTTCTTTACTTGACCTATAACAGGCGAAAGCATATTAACTCATAACATTATTTTCATTTGACCTCTGAGTCTCTTGTTCGACTAACGGTAAGAAAAGACAGTCCTAACAACACTTTGTAAACGTCTTTTGTTTCGGCCGACCACAGGTTAGAGGTACTATTTCCCGACACTAGTAGAACCTAGAATAGCGGACCAAACCAAAATATCGAACAAATCTTGTATCAAATTGTTCCTCATCAGATGATAGCAAAGTATCTCTGTAAAACTGTTTTTAAAATGTTTTAAATCCTAATTTAAGAAAATCTTTCATATGGATCGGTCTTAACAAATTAAAAACTAAGGAGGAAAACATAATAACAAAACGAGCCTGAACAGCAGAAATAATAATAAAAAAAAAAATTCGGGTGAATTTATTATTAACCCTGAAGTCACGACTTAGAGAGGCGAAAAATTCTAAAACATTGTGATAAATTTTCACATCATCCGCTCTGGATCTAAAGAGTCCAAAACTGAAACCAAATTTGATACAACTTCCAAATTGGTTATCAAAGTTAACCTATTTTAATAAAGGTTGATTGCTAATTGCAACGTAAGTTTGGCCAGAAGCTTACAATAATCAGTGCAAACAATAATCAGAAGTATTTGAAAAAGAGCAGTAACATACAAAGTACATAAGCTGGTCCTTACAAAATGTTTTATCAAATGGAATAATGGATGAGCTTCAAGTTGGATTACTAATTATAATAGTGCTTGTTACTATTGATTGGTTCTTATAATTCAGGTATAATAACAAATCAATTGTAACGTCTTCCTGGTTGTTTCCAAGATAACTATTTTAGTTTCACTTGCGAATTGGTTGGCAATCCATCCATCATGCATTGTGCCATCATAAATTTTCTTTGAATTTCTGTCACGCAAAATGAGGCTTTATTTTTGGTTCAGCATCAGGTATGCAGGTAATTATTTGCTCATGCTGAGAATCCATTCCAGTTCTCCCTCATTGAACAATAGTTTGGGTTTTCAGGTAACCTAATAACTGTCCTATCCATTGTCAGGTTTCAGATTACTTGGAAACCCAAGTAACCCAGTAACTACTATATTTCTTATTGTTTTTCAAGCTTTCTTGGGAACCCAGGTAGCCCAATAAATGGCCCTATATCTTGTCGTATTTTAAGCTTACTTAGAAACCCAGGAAACCCAATAATGGTCCTATATCTTGTCGTATTTCAAGCTTACTTGAGAACCCACGTAACCCAGTAATGGTCCTATAGCTTGGTGGATTTTAAACTCACTTGGTGAATAATATCTGTCTGGGTATCTCATCAAGAGTTGTTCCAACATAATGTCAACTAAAAACTTCTCTAATGACTGTTTGCTTCCTGCTCAAAAACACATATTCATTATTTCGTCACAATAGTTGCAAATATATTTTACCCCATCAATTATTCCATGCTTGGAGCGAAAATCCATCCAATGTTGAACACTGTAGTCATTATATAATACAGATCTTGCTTTATATCTACAATGTTTAAAGCTTTGAGTGCAAGAAATGTACAGTACAGCAATTTAACTTGTAGTGATAGCATGTCTTTTCTTTTATGTTTCTGATCCCTCGATTCTTTGGAGTTAGTATTTTCAATATGGTATTTCCAGCTTCTAAGAATATTTAAGTATTAAATAAGAAAATTCTACGAGAACAATACTTTTAGAAAGCAACGAGACGTCCACAAGTTTTCTTTATTTTATTACTACTCTCTTCATCATTATGCTCGTCTTCAGCAAAAACTTTTTGCATATTTCTATTGGATCTTGTAACGTCTTCTCTTGGACATCCTACATTCACATTACTTGTCCTATTCTTTGCAGTCGATATGTGAAAAAGAAAAACATTGAAATGTGGGAATGGTGTACAAGAATTTTCCTACATCTTGTTAGTCATCTATTCTTTGTTTCGAATTTATTTAGGTAAATCAATATTAGATCATTCAGTTGACCAATATACTTATTCAATTTACTTCGAAACATGACTTCGAACATGTTTTACATCCATGCTCTATCGATCTTTACAAGCTGAGCAACCCGAATTGGGACTCCGCCATTTGATTAAATGCATTAACAAGCTGATGTGTAATATTTACATTGTTATCAATATTTATCAAACTACGAATCCACTCGTACACCCACACACAGAGTCATAGAGATTTGCCTTACTGGGTTTCAGCATGAATAACTCAGATAATTCAAATTCGAGTTGTATATGAAAGAAATTCGAGCGAAAAAAAATCTGCTTGCTCATATAATGTTTTGCATTATCGTTTTCTGACAAAACAGTTTTAATGTGAGGTGATTCAAGTTTTAAATGCATCAAAATGGGCTCTATTAAAAAACAATGCAAAGATATATTGGTCGTTGCTATTCATTAAGGTACAGCCCCCCCCCCCCAAGTGGCCCAGCGGAATGTCTGCGGACTTACAACTCCAGAAACCGGGTTTCGGTGCCCGTGCTGGGCAGAGCACAGATTGCCAAATATGTGGCATTGTGCTTAACTTGAAACAAGCAACCAATTAAGGTACATGTTGTGGTGTTCAGTTTTATTCCAGCTTCTTCGTTACGATAATGAAACTGTATCGTTGTTTAATAACAACTTATCCCTTAACCCATACAACTTTACATTTCTTTTTCTCTCGAACATCTAGCTTGGAATTTCATACTCAATTGGATAACAACAACAGCCATATGGGAAGTATTCTTTTTTACACTTTGCTTCAAGCTTTTTATACATTTCTAATATCATCCTTTATTGGTTAACAACCCTAAATCTGTGTCCCTTGAAGAGCTTCATTTTCGCCCATATATTAAAGAAAATAGTTGCAGTTGATCCATAAATGCTGTATATGTTAATAATATTAGTGATGAGTTTGAAACAAGAATTGCCACCAAAGCAATCTGTATTCTTGTGACTATATGTATTCATGTTTGGTTTTCAAAGAGCATCCTTAATGCAAGACACTGTTCAAGTTTTAAATGGCCATTGATGATATATTTTACAAACTTCTGGCAATACGCAGTTCTTTTCAAAATGTTCTTGTTATAGTCCTACAGCAAACTGGTAATCTGGTTAATTGAAATTAACATCGGATTTTATCCCAAATAGTAAAATGCTCCGTGCTCTTTACATATGAGTCCAAGTTTGAAGTGTTCAGCAACAATAGATAACAGCTTATTCGAAGGAGGTATCATAGTCAATGTACAACATCTACATTGAAATATAGTGAGGGGATCAGTACAAGTTTGGGCTGATTTCAGCCAATGGTGTCTATGATTTACCCACAAATGATGGCACCCTGACAGCTGGGTATCCAGTAAATGATAGCACAGCAGTAAGGAGGCTACAGCTTGGCCTGCGTAAAGTCCCAACATAAATATTCTTGAGGCTACATGGCTTATTTATAGAAAAATAAAGAGGTCAAAAGATGACCAAACAGTCTTAGTAAACTGCGAAGAGAAAGAGATGATATTTGGAACAATGTTCCACAATCATACATTGACAAACTGATGGCAGCATGAGAACAAGTTGCAATGCTTTGTGTAAATCAAAAGGTTCCCATACAAAATACCAGTGAGTGTCTTGTATAATTTATTCACTTTTCTTTTGTGTTTTCTGTGACAATGTTTATATCTATATAAATATAATAGTGCTGTCTGTTGTATATCCATGTCCATGTACCTACAAATTTTCAGTTTTGCATTTACAGATTTTTACGGGCGTTTTTGCGCTATTACTATTTCGTCTCCTATTGATGGATCTTCACCACATTTGGTATGACGGTTTGTTGGGTCCATGCGGAGACACGTGCAAACTTGCGGTTTCACATTTTGTGTTTGGCAGATTTTATGGGCGTTTTTGCGTTTCTTACAATTACATACAAAGGAAGCAATTTTTCATGTCGTAAGATAACCTTTCATTAATCATTAATTTACATAATTTCCGTTTAGGGGACGGGTACTCCAGCTATTACGTAATAAATTTACAGTTTAGTTGCAATTACTCGTGTTTTTTTTTTGTAACTCTTGTTTGTATATTGTTTGTGTGTTTCCATATTACTGTATATTAGATATTAGGTAAAACATGTTACACTTTCCTGAAATGAAATTAAACAGACATAAAATTGATTCTACTAGTTTTATCATCTTATAGTATCTAAATTAAATTTGTTTAGCTAATCATTTTATTCGATTCAATGTTACCTACCCATCGGTTCGAGTATCCAGGTAGTTTGACGTCACCACCGTTTCTCCAACTCCAGAAAGGTAGCAAGTAAGGTTATAAACTTTGTCACGTGACGTCTGCACGTAGTCGTTGAACTGCACTACTACTATATTGGTCATAACGTCTCCGTACTGTTTAAAAAACAATCCAGAATATTTGAATTGAAATATCATAAACTACGACCACATTTGTTATATTTCAAAAAATATGCAAATTGTAAAGTTCAAACAAAGTTCAGTTTTTAACAGATTTATTAACAACCACCGTCTTGTTTTTAATTGTAGTAGTTAAAAGTCTTATGAAACGACAAAAAATATCTCATTATTTAGTGTATGTGTGCTTTTTAAACTGTTGATTATTATTTCTAATGTTAAAGCTCCAGGTAAAAAAATCGTTAAGTTCCCAAGCATGAAAGTCAAAGATGCAAAACGGTAGTAAATTCATTTACTTCATTTTACTTGAACGTATGACAGAGGAAACAACATCCATCAAACCTATCGGAAATAAGTGTGCACACAAATTAGAAATACATATTCCAAACAAAATAATTCCAAAATCCAACCAGTTCTTATAGCTATAAAACATTGTCATGTTACAAAGAAATAGACGACATTATAAATTCCTGATATTTGGATAATTATGATGAAAAATAATATTTTTTGCTGCCGTTACCCGGTGATCTTCGAATATTAATCGCAAAGCTTTTGTTAAAAAGATCTTCTAATACCTCTCATTACTCCACAACTGTACGTAGTTTCAACATTCATAATTAATTCATAATGTAAAAAATTATTATCGCCTTTTACTAACATAAGCCAACAGTTTTTAAAAGCGATAATTATCTCAAAACCACATCTCTTAAGCCTAAGGTATTAAAAGTTTTGAATTTTTGAATTACAAAAAGTTTGGTTCAGCATTAGCACTCTATAAATCTGAAACGAAAGCAGTTACTGAAGGCAACTTTTTCTAATGGGTGAACTAATTATGTATATATATAAATATATATATACATATATATAAACTTATGCAAAATAAACCTTTTTACTCAGTGTGTTTTCGATAAAATGAAATGAGAAAAAATGTAACAGAATGAAGCAGAAAGAAAACAAGTTACACAATTTCATGTTTTAAGTAGAATATGACTTTAAAAATTGTTCAAAATAACAGAAATACGTACTTGCTGTGTTCCACATCGTGGAAAACCATTTGCTCGACTTATTCTTAGGACGTTAATGTTACCACCATTTCCATCATAGAAACATGTATCATAGAACCCGTACGTATAGATACGACCAAAAAAGCCATCTGGTGTTCGAAGAGAGAACTCCATACCGTCAGGAGAACAAGACTGGCTAACTGTGAGGATATAAAATAGCCTAATTAGCAAACAATCGAGCAGAAAAGAGAGTGGCCAAAGATTTACGTTACGATACATTTTGGTTTCAAGTTCTACCTAGTCCTTCTATCGTTTTCTTAAACGTTACTTTTGGTTTATACATGTAATTAACTATGATGCCAGACATACTTCTAGCTGTATCTGATATATTTCACGAAATATGAAGTTACTTTTGTGTCATCCATTAAATCAATAACCACGAGGAATGGGTTTTAAATCCAAGGTTAAATCACAAGTCCCTGTAATAACACGGCAAAATCGATCACAAGCTCCTCAGTTAACTGGCAGATTAGATCACAAGTCCCAGTAGTTACCTGGCAGATAAGATCACAAGTCCCTGTAGTTACCTGGCAGATAAGATCACAATCCCTACAGTTACCTGGCAGATAAGATCACAAGTCCCTACAGTTACCTGGCAGATTAAGTCACAAGCTCCTGCAGTTACGTGGCAGATTAGATCACAAGTCTCTACAGTTACATAACAGATTAGATCACAAATATCTACAGCTACATAACAGATTAGATCACAAGCTCCTGCAGTTATACGGCTAGACGATGGTGAAAGCAGTCTAAAATTTCCTCCCGAATAACTGAATGCTTACTTAATTAATAAATATCTCAACTTGAACTAAGCCGAGGTTTTTTTATAAACAGATAGATAAATCATTCTTTTTTTCTTTATTCATATTGTTAGAAAAATACAACCAAAAACGTAAAATTCACAAAACGAGTAAATATCCAATTTGAAAACACACAAGAAAAAACAACATATATTCTCCATAACTAAGCTGGAAAAAAAATAGTTATCTCCTGTTATCTTTTCCATCGGGAATAGCAAGACAAACACTCACCATCAAGGCAATGACGTATTGATCCAGGACTATCTCGTTCGTAGAAATCGAATTGTGTGTTGTCGTCAAAATGACTGGGATTGCTCAGCTGTACCTGAGTAGTGTCCATATCACTTAGCTCGCAATTTTCAGGAAAGAAGGGTCTGATGAGAATATGCATTATAAGTACCGCTTAAAACATCAGTTGGAAATAACAAGTATGTAAATATATTGCAAATTATTTTTCATGCCTACTCAGAAGTTAGGTCATCCAGAGAATTGACTTGAATAATATACTTATAAAAGAAATAGTACATATTAAATTACGAATATTTTAATTAAATAAAAATGAAAAACTATCCTATTAATTATTACTGGAGTGATAACTAAATTAACACCAATTAATTCAAGAATAAATCCTCACAAAATAATTATAGTAATAATGATCTTGCGTTTTCTTAGTTAACAAAATAAATATTCCATAATTCTAAAAAATGGTTCTTGTGTAATACGTTTTCTTCATTTTTAAAATAATCACCCTAGTGTGACTAAGTACCCTCTAAATATTACCTGAAATTAAAAGATCGACAATCAAAATCACGTGCATCAATACACGCCTGTTCACAGTCTTCTACCCTGTCAGCTCGCACCACCCGCCGAACGTAAAAGCTTCGTAGCCTTTGTCCAAATCCAACTCTCTGAAATCCAGCGCCCCCTGGTACGCTTCCTGGTACGCCACCATTACCACGATCGGTGCATGTGGGGTAACCAAGTCCTTCTGGTCCTGGTTGAAGGGGTGGGCCAGGGAGCCTAGGAGGATAAATAGAGTTCGGACCTGGTGGTAATGGTGGAGGAGGAGGTCCAGGAGGGTATCTTCCGCCACCATAACGACCACCATAGTTCTCGCTGAAATCCCCGCCATATCCTCCACCATACCTGTCCTCGAAAGGTGGTGGAGGAGGAGGTGGTTGTGGATAACGTCCTATGTCTGGTCTAATGTCGCTCCATCCTCCTCCCCACTTCCTACCACCATAGTCTCCATAACCAGATCTTTCTGGAGTATATCCCCCACCATATATTGAGCTCCAATCGCCTCGATCTATTAATATAAAGAATTATTTTTGAAACAGAGGTTGTAAACAATAATAAAAAAATACCAACTACCTAAGAGTTTTAAATGTGATCTCTGAGGTCTTTCATACAAAGTTATCGGAAACTCAATCTTTCTTATTCACTCTTCAATTCATATTCATTTCTTATTTCAATGAACTTGTATTATTCTAATGACGTTTAGTTTGTTTGTTTTTGAATTTCGCGCAAAGCTACACGAGGGCAATGTGCGCTAGCCGTCCCTAATTTAGCAGTATAAGACTAGAGGGAAGGCAGCTAGTTATCACCACCCACAACCAACTCTTGGGCCTACTATTTTACCAACGAATAGTGGAATTGATCGTAACATTATATCGCCCCCACGGCTGAAAGAGCGATCATGTTTGGTGTAACGGGGATTCAAACCCACCTGGTCATGCCGGACCCTTAAGAATAGCGCTAAAGAACAGGGGGGGGGGAGATGAGTGGGAAATAAAGAAGTTGTATAATTACATAAATTTGGTTATTCATGTATAACAAGATATATCCTGTTCATTGATCAGATCTAAACGTTTAGCTACAAGTTATGCAGATGGTGTAAACAATGTTTAGTCAATAAATATATTCTTCAATCTAACAGTAACTGTATTGTTGCCTTGTTACTTTAATGTCATAATTATAAATTTAAACTTATTAGCAAAGGATGAGATGAATTTACAATCCCAGTTCTGATCAATAATCAGAAAAATAAAATGAGTGGTAAATGTCCTACATCGTGAAGAAGTTTGACAGTGTTTATTTTAAAGAACTTTCTAAAGTTTCAACAGAGACGAATGGAAATATTGATCATTTCATTTTTATGGTTTTTCAAATAAAAGCTTACTTTAAGTTGTATAGCAGTAATTTTACTTTATACTATACATTCAACATTTGAAGTCGTTGCAAGAAATGAGGTTCAGGTTACGGAGATTCTTGCGAAAACCATGAAAAACTTCAACATGAAAGGAACTTGGATAAGTTCCATTAAATAACTCCCTTTTTCAATTAAATTAGACAATATTCGTGAAGTTTTGTTTTCCTTTGCTTTCATCTAATTAAGGTTTACGGAGCATTATCAAAACCCATTTCATATCTAATATCCATCCAGTATTTCCACAAATAACCTTGCAAGATTGTCCTGTGTCTGTGTTATGCCAGACGTCAAAAATTACCAGACAATGCCTTTACTGGCGAAACCATGATCGTAATAAATGAAATACTTGTGAAACATTAAATTATTTTGGTCTTCCTCAATTCTGTAAAAAATACCCCCTACAACTAGATGTACTTACACAGGGTCCCCGAAAGTGTTCTGCTTCAAGAGTAAATAAAACCTAAATTAAGAGTAACAAATATTTTTATTTCTTGCTTTTGAAGTTAGTATGCCATGCTGTGTTGTAGCCTACAGAGTGCATAATTTTTCTCTTGATTCGTGGCATGTGCACGTTTTCCTAACGTCACGACAGTATAAATTGCAACGTTAAGCGTCCCTTATGTGACGTGATTTTAGTATCAACTGATTGACTAACAGACAATACACTACTGTATAGTGATGCGAATGATTAAAACAGGTGACCCATTCAGTCGGTATTCGGCCTCCTTTCGGAGAAATGATAAGAAAGACCCATGTTTACTTTAGAACTTTCAGATTCAATTCTTCCCTCTGATCGCCTTCAGGTAATAAAGATGTGTTAGTTAAATATAATTTCTAGTATATAATAACATGTATGTTTATACCATTTGTTTTGATTACTTACACCATCTAAGTTCATAGTAATCGTAATAGTCGTCGTCTATGAGGTTTGGTCTTCCAGTTCCCCAACCGTCTTCATAGCTACTGAATCTACACGACAGATAGAGCGAACTGTATTCGACAGAACGACAAGCACGCCCGTAACGGCGCATGCACTCGTCCAAACACTCCTGAAACGAATAGGATTTGATCTCATTTTCGTGGGATCCATCCAGTTTCTTACGTCGGAAGCATTCTAAAGTAGCGTTATTGAACAGAGCATCTGGAGGAAAATATTACAGAAAATAATGAAAGAACAAGAACATCTCAATAATAACATTAATAGAAATAAGACAAAATAATTTCGTTAAAACTTAAGCTAGAAACATCATTATCTAATTGAAGAGCTTAACGTACGCTGCAACGACAAAACAATAAAGGACTGGTTCTAATTGTATTGTTGTAGGTAAATATACTAGTCAGTAAATGGTGTGTTAAATCAAGACAGATTCAAATTGTTCTTGTTTTAGAAAGTCGGAAGTACCACATTTAAAGCTTTAATGGATTACACCTACCTGGAGCTGGATTCAACATAGGCAGTTGCAGTCCGCCAAAACTTAAAGTTCAGATTGGATTGGTTGTTTACTACATTATTTTGTTCATCCAAGTGTGTGATATAAATCAGAAAACATTAGGTTAGAGTAAAACGAAGGAATGAATCTCGAAGGCTAGGAAATTATAATATTACTTTTCAACTGTAACAATGACTATATATTTAGATGTTTTCTCCGAAATTCACACCAATATGGTGTGGAGCAATTAAATTAAAAGATTAAGCCTATAAATCAAGTCAGAAGGTTGAATATTTGCGCTTTTACTCTAATTCGCATGCAATACGAGTGATAAACACGAGAATTTAAAGTGAAACTTTTCCTACATATATATATATGTATACAATGTGTGTATACATATATAAATATATACAACAAGCTGATCTAACCTCGCTCATGTGTCCCACAGAGGACTCTGAAGTAGTTTCCGCTACTTCCTCGGAGAGGATCACTTATTTCTGGACCTATCCTGTATCCTACTGGGTCTTCGTCATACAGTAGGCAAGTTTTTGACTTTTCGTCAAAGACGAAAGACCTGCAGAAAAAGCCTCTTTCCTCTAGACTGTTGTTGCATAGCCCAGAACACTTGCTGCGATCGCTAACTGTGATGAATTCCCGGTCATAAGCACTATCAAGTTCCTTCCCAGTCTCCATGATGAAAGCTTTAGCGGAGCAAATCTGGGAGTCTTGGTTGGTCAGAAAAAAAGTAGGATTAAGATCATATAAAAAAACATCATTGTTACTCAGAAAAAATAGAGTTGAAATAATATAAAAAGTTCATTATTGTTCAGAATAGTAGAATTAGAGAAATATAAAAGCTTCATGGTTATTTAGAAAAGTTAGGGTTAAAGTCATATAAAAATATCATTGCTGGTAAAAAAATGAGGGTTAAAGTAATTTAAAACATTGTTGTTGATTCAGGAAAATTAGATTTAAAATATCATTGTTGATCAGAAATGTGGGGTTAAAGTAAATGCAAAAACACCATTCTTTTTCAGAAAAAGTAAAAAATTATCATTGTAAGTAATAAAAAGTAAAATTACAATAAAAAATATCATCGTTTGATAAACTAAAAATTTTAAATAGATTTATTATTATGCACAAAACACTTGGTGTTCATTGCTAAAACCATTTCAATATTAATTAGAATTGACAGAGCTAGATCTAGTATTGTGAGCAGGAAACTTATAATTAAAGGGTATCAACTAACTTTAAATATATAATTTGTTGTCAGTTTGCTTGTTTTGTTGAATTTCACGCACAGCTACTCGAGGACTATCTGCGCTAGTCCTTCCTAACAAAGCTACTCGAGGACTATCTGCACTAGTCGTTCCTAACAAAGCTACCCGAGGACTATCTGCGCTAGTCCTTCCTAACAAAGCTACTCGAGTACTACTGCACTAGTCGTTCCTAACAAAGCTACTCGAGGACTATCTGCACTAGTCGTTCCTAACAAAGCTACTCGAGGACTATCTGCACTAGTCGTTCCTAACAAAGCTACTCGAGGACTATCTGCACTAGTCGTTCCTAACAAAGCTACTCGAGGACTATCTGCGCTAGTAGTTCCTAATTTTGAAGAAATTGATTTGAGGAAATGCGGCTAATCACACCACCCATCATCAGCCCTTTACCAACGAACAGTGAGATTGACCGTTACATGGCTAAAAGGGGCTAGTATGATCTATGACGGGGTTCCGTCCTGCGATCCGTAGGTTCCGAGTCAAGTGAACTTGCCACCAGACCAAACTAAGGAGGTCTTTTATTGTCAAGATTGTTTTATTTTGTGGCACAAAACTACAAAATGGGCTATCTGTGCTCCATTCACCCCAGATATCCAACCCCGGATTTTAGCATCGTAAGTCCGTAAAGTTACCTCTGACTCACCAGGGTGTATTGTCAAGTTAACGAACCATAGAGATTTAATCTATATATATCAAAGTTCAACGCTGTTGGTAAGTGATTAAATCATGATACTTCTTTAAGTATAGCATTTTAACCTGTAAGACACAAACTCTCCATGTTGTCGCTGTCCATAAGATTCATATGTTTCGTTTGCTTGCTTAGCTTACACAGTGGTAAGTTTGTGGGCTTATATCACTAAAAATCGGGTTTCATTACCCATGGTGGGCAGATTACGGATAGCCAATTTACCGTGGTGTTTTAACCTTAGCAACAAACAAATATAGCGGACGTTCTTGAACCCTTTATATTCCCCCCCCCCCGGTGGCACAGCGGTATGTCTGCGAACTTACAACGCTAAAAACCGGTTTTCGATACCCCTGCTGAGTAGAGCACAGATAGCCCTTTGTGTAGTTTTGGGCTTAACTACAAACAAATCCTTTATGTTAGAAACGTATTATTGCTGGCGTCGGCTGATGACTAAAATACGCACTAAAGGTTTAATGAAACTAAATGGTAACTTCAATACAGAATCTTCAGATTAACTTAGTTTACCTGCTAAAATCACCAGATAGCGCTAACTAAAGAAACTGCACGGTAAATGATTAATTCAACTTCAATTGTGTTTAATCTATACTAGAAGTTATAAAGTCTATTATTAGAACAAAACTTGTGAAACTGATAATATGAATTTCAGGCCTTGGAATTGTAGAAGAAATGTTCTAAACTGTAAAAGCAACATAGAAACTTTTTATGTATTGCGGAATTCTAGTGTTTAATGTTCGCATTTTCAAGTTTATCTATAGCAAAATTTTATCAGCATCTTTTTCTCGAATTTTTCAATAATACTTTTCAATAACAACGTTCTTAGTCATATCGTCATCTTTCTTTGTATGAAGACAGATTTAGTTATTATTGGGCAATAAAGACGGAATTATACTTTCAATTCTGATTAAAGTGTATAAATACACCGAAAACGTAGGACAGATTTTAAAAAATATTTGAGTGACGAGAACAAGAGGCCCGACATGGCTCGACTCGCAATCTGAGGGCCACAGTTTCGAATCC